AGGAGAAGCTCAAAAAGTCCTTGAGTAGTCTCAACACTACTTGGCAACAACTGAAAACATCAGTGTGTTATCAACATTCTTCTGGTACTAAATCCAAAACACAGCACTATGCTAGCTACTGTGAAGAAAATGAACTCTATCCCAGCCTAAACCAGGACAACCTCTGAGTGTGGTCCACGTGCTGTATCTGATGGTTCAGATGTCTGTCTGAAAATCCAAGCCAGCTTCACTTTATCTGGCAGCATTCTTCCAAAGCTCACCTAGAAATAAATATCTACTGAGATCTTGACTTAAAAGACATAACGTTTATATGTCAAATTTAATAGCTTCCCAAATATTTCACAACACACTTTGGTTCAAAAGACTTCTGCTTGGACCATAGCAGTTCAAGCAGAGGACCATTATATCTATTTTCTTTTGTCACCAGATAGTTTAAAATCATAACCAGCCACTTAGATGCCAAACTGAAAAACGACATTTTCCTTTTGAGCCACTTGAACAAGACTACAGTATAAGCTAACTCTGTCCTACCAAGCAGATTTCAGTTTAAAGATTGGATTGCTCATGACATTCCCTAGTGAGGGTATGTGTGAAATGGTATAGCGTATGCTGTATGATATTCACTCCAGTCCATTCTGTACCAAATCCCTTAGGCCTATGTCCACCCACCGAAACAGCCACATTGGGGATGCCAAGAAGTAGGAACAAGGTACAGATAGGCCACAGATAACACCTTTAGCTCACATCATCCTGTGTGTAAGTTACGGTTCAGTAGAGTGGGTGTAAATAGCTCTGAAATGTGAAAGTCGATTTGAAAGGATTGTGTTGACTCTGCCTAATAGCAGAAGATGCTTCAAGTGCTGTTTAGTACACATAATAAAACAAGATGTTATTACAGCAGGAGCAGATACTGACCTCTGCTTGTGCTGGCCAGCATTTTCATTACAAGACTCTTGTGCCTTTTTCATTTGTCTGTCATTTGTTTGTTTGTTCGTAAAAATATTTTTTTTCCCCCTTTTAAGACCCTCACTATTTTCAACACGTCTGTGAAGACTGCAGGAACCATCTGGATGGTCATGTGCCTTTTCTCATTTTTTGTAGTCCTATCAAATTTTGTTCAGGTTTAGTAATTTTTAAAATATTTTATAATCCATCTGTTTCCCGTCACTCATCTACATGCTGCAGGACAATGCTGACAGCCTGCCAAGCTGACTTGGCACAGACATCTGCAAGGCTGGGATTTGTGGCCACATGTAAGTGTTTGTGAAGGTTGAGTCTCCAGTCCTCAGTGTGCCTGAGCATTTACCTTTTCTCTTAATTGAGAGACGTATGAAAACACCAACAAATCTTCTGCCACTCACTGCCCAAGTCAAGAAGCCACCCCACTAAGTCAAATAGTTTAGACTACATTCTTGCTATGGAAAGGACCGTGCACCAAAAGGTTTTTTTCCTTCCAGTCCCGACAGAAGGAATTTCATGCTGCAGCATTGCCCCTCTTTGTGGCTGGAAGTCACATAGGCTGCTCAGAGGGAAGAGGAGCTCCGCTGTAGGCAGCAAGATAAGGTGAGGCTCACAGCCACATACACCCAAGCAGGGTGACCTGGGCTGAGATCCAGAAATACTGAAGATACTGTATTTTTTGAAAGTATGAGAGGTGTGATTGTTTTTAAACTTTGCAGACCCCCGCTAGGACTGTTGGCATGCAACATGATAGCCATTTTGGATTTTCTCCAGCCGTATCCAAAGAGGTAATAGTCACCCGTACTGTTAAAATTGCTTCTCTGAGCAGCTATGAAACAGAAATTCACTCCCAGCATCCTTTTCTGTTTCTTCTCTCTGAGGGATGAATTTCTTGGTTACGTGTTTTAATGCAAGATTCACAATGTTGCCCTGAGCAATGTTTGAAGCTGCAGATTCTGAAGACCAGATTCTTAACTATGAGGAGATTGGGGGACATTTGTTTGGGGGATTTTGTTGCTGTTTCTACCAGACCCTACAGCATGTTTCTGTCAGGATGGGAATGTCAGGGAAAAGTAGGGAGTCTTAACCATTTTATGGGGAAGATGTCTACTTACATAGGCGAAATTGCATGGTCACAAAATCCATTTTGCGGTGTGATCCAATATAGCTTATGCCAACACATCTTTCCCTTTTTCCTGCCCCTTTGTCTCCCCAGCCCCAACCATAAGTACAGTTGGACAGTGTAAGTGCGCTTGGATTGCTCTGCCAGTACTTCTTGTCAGATGGGTGATTCAGACCCAAATTCAGCCTGGACTGGAGCCACAGAGCAGAAAAAATTCAAAGTTATGAAACTTCCGTCTTGTTTCACAGGAGTCTAAAGAAGCACTTTAAAGGAAGGTTAAAGCCTTTATGCCCATCTTTGGTATTCACAATCGACTCAAGTTGTTAAAACTCAATTTTCTGTGGCTCTGCTTAAAACATAAAACCTTTTCCTTTCTATTTGGGCTTTTCGTTATTCATTGCTTGTGCTTCCACAGGTCCTTTAAAAACGAAATGAAGCGCTCTAAACTGTGAGGATGTTGCTCGTTAGTGGAGCAAATACAATACTGCAACCAGCCACAAATATTGATTTAATATAGAATTGATTTTTCCCTTAAAGACCACTAAATCCTCTGTTTGGTTGGGGTTTTTATTAATCTTGGTGGAAATCAGATTAGGAATTTTAAAACTACCACACAGGAACAAAAAGAGTCGTCTTTTACGGCAGGCCGGTTCCTCCGCGTTGCAGAGTTTAACACAAGGGAGAAAAAAGGAGAAAGGCACCGGAGGGAGCGAAAAACGAGGGGCTGCCCAGGGACTGGCTGTCCCCGGGAGGTCGGGAGCGGCAAATCCTCCTCGGGGTGCGGAG